CAAAAAATAGTTACATATAGAAATTAGTCAGTACATTTCATTTTTCATTCAACTTTTTTAATTACCAGAAAAACAGCAGTTCCTAGAAGACATTAAAATCCTCATATAATTCGCAGAGTGAAAAAAAGATCATGGGTGAATTGGAACACCTGTTTATTGTTCACATTTACAAAGTATTTACAGCGGTGAAAGCTTTTCTGGACACAAATTCATACAAATAAATGTTAATACATTTATAATATTTACAAAAATTACCAATTCTAGTTAGTAAAGAACACAAACCTGTCCCACTAACTTTGGTTGTATTAACATAAATGATACAACTAGTGTTTTTATTTTACACTCTCACATAATGTGTTAGCTTCAGCTGAGGAAACTGCTAAACTGTATATAAATTTAACTTCTGAAGCATTGTTTAAACAAAACAAAATGACAAGACTTGTATTGTGACAAAGCTTTAAGGTATTCAGTATTTACTGTATCTCACCTGACTTTCTGAATACATAAAATAAAAGGAACTACAGTTGAGGTAAATTTGTGGGTGGCAGGTTCAAAGTCCAAGGTAGGTTTTAGATAATTAAGAATATCAAGTATAACTTTTTGAGATATCTGGAATATAGCAAATTCTTATTCTCAATCTGACTGACATATAAACTGTAAACAGTAATATAATCATGTCATGCTGCATAAGATGTCATCCACATCCCCCCCAAAAAAAGATCTTAGTTAAGTGCTGTGCAAATATTCTCATTCATATGCCTCATTTTTGTGAAAGAAAAAACAACTCCAGAAATAATTTCTCTCCCTCTCTCTTTTTTTTAACAGTTTGTTTAACACAATTAATTGGAACTGAAAGTAACTGTAATATAAATTTATTTGAGCAGGTTTTGTCACCTTGACAAAGTCACTTCAAGCAGGAGAAAAGCTACAATTTATGAAACCAAAAATATAATTACTGGAGTTTCATTTCATTTACAAGTATAACCAATCTAATGAATGGACATTTAATGTTTGGAAAATAAATAAAAAGCTTATAAAGTGCAAGTAAATTTTGATGTCAGTAACCAGTGTTCAAACATTAAAGATATTTGTGCTGAAAAGGGAACTTGTGTATGCAGTTACTAAATGGAATTTCACATTGTACAAAGAAGGCCCTGAGGATTATCTGTCTTTATAATGGTATTTGGTTCCAAAATACACAACTCTTGACAGATGGACAGAAGCGTTTAAAATACATATCTTTGTTGAGTTAACGTTGACAACATAAATATATGTGTATATATATAAATATGCTATATGAAAGGTCTTCTTCTTTCCTTCATCAGCACAATATAGTTTATAACATAATCAATACTAGAAAAAAGTTACAACATAAAACAACAAACAGCATGCCTACTAATTCCATCACTGCCATGAAAACTAACACCATTTTACTAGAATTCTATGATTATTAAGACCAACCATATGGTTACTGATGTCTTAACTACTACTGTAATCTTTACAAAGTGATTTTACTAGTTTTGTTACACTTAGCTTTAGTATTAAAACAGTTAAAAAACTTTTTATGAATTTTTGGCAGAGAAGAATTACATAAAAAATAGAAACCAGATGGAGTACATGTGGAAACTTCCAAGCTATCTGATAAAATATATTGAGTATAATGTAAATGATAAAAGTATTTTGAAAATCTAAATGATACATCCTAGGGCTTGATAATGACAAATTAAGTTGAAAATGTTGAATTTTCTTGAAAAGGGGTAATATGGATTTGGAGTGTGATTTTGACATCAATCCCCACTAAGCTAATACCATCTCACTTGTTCAAAGCTTGTTCTACATGGACTATTATTTGTGTTAAACTGAAGTTGGACTAAGGTCTTCAATTTTTGTTGTTGTTGTTAGAAGCAACAAACCATAAATTTTCTGTATTAAAACAACCACACACACACACACACACACACACACACACATGTATCAGGAATATACTTTGATTGCTAACTAGACATACTGTACAAAGAGTTGACCATCAAAACTACTGCATACTTTTGTCATTCCATAAATGTAGAGGCCAGATATCAATGTCAACCAACAATAACACATAAATACTCACATCAACCTTAATTTATATTTCAACAACAAAAAATCTAAACATGGAATAAATATACCTTATTTAATGCCAGTCTTTCAGAAGAATATTGATAATGTATAAATACAACCCAATCTTACTTCGGAATATTTGAAATAATTATCACCAAATGTTATGCCAATCTTCCACCTAAAATTTAACACTGATACAAATATATCCAATTTTAGAATATTCTCCTACTACAATGTTATAAATTGTATATATATACAACCCAATTTAACAATGTTTTATAAGAAGATCACTAAAATTGATAGAGCTTAAACAATGACCTTATAAGACATTATGAGGGGCATAGCTCCCTAAATACAAGAGTGCAAATGATTACACATCCTTTTTGTTTAAGATATGTTGATGTTAACCTTTTAACTTTATCACAAAAATAAATGTAGAAAAAGAACAACAAAATGCACTTGTCCAATTCCTTGTAAACTTCTTTCAACATTCTTAAAGCAGATTTTTTGCCATTCAGCAAAGGGCCCTCTGCTATTGATGGTTACACATGGTTAAAGCCATAGCTACACCCCTTATCATCCATTATAGAGAATGATAAATTTTATTATCATAAAAAACAAAACAGAATAGTGACACATTAACAAAACTCACACATTGTTGACATTTTATTACTCACAGAAAATAAAGAACTTGGAACTGTTTAGCCACTCAACCATAAATATCAAGTTAGTATTAAACAAGCTATTTAAGATATATGTTAAGTTACTTGAATTAAGGAACGAGTAGAGACATTGTAGCACATTTGCTGTGGAAAAGTATTTGCAACTGATGTTAAATAGGTTCTTTTGCTGAAAGTTAGCTACTGTTGTAAAAGTTAAGTTAAGACATGGATGCAGCAGTCTGGCAATATTACAACAAAGGTTTAAACTTACTACCCTTGACAGTATCTGTCTTGCCCACCCAGTGGCTCAGCAGTAAGTCTGCAGACTTATCATGCTAAAAAAACAGGTTTTGATACTTGTAGTAAGCACAGCACAGATAGTCCATTGTATAGCTTTGTGCTTAACAATAAACAAATAAAAAAGACCATATCTAATAAAATCATGAACCACTCTTCAAACGGTATTAAAATGGACATGGATCAGTGATCTAATGGTTTCAGCAAAAATATTAAAAATATTGAAGTTAATTTTCATATAGTATTTAAAAAAATATGGACTAAGTGATACGATGATACTTAAATTGGGAATTACTATTACAAAATGTAGAACGTTATGACATTACTTTTTACTCTAGTAATACTTCTAACCTAAACAATACTTCAAATACTTTCTATTTGAATCAACCATTACATCTGTAATCCTGGTAGAAAACAATATTTGGTAACTAAACTTTTATTTATAATACTTGTGTTGTAAAAATATGTTTTGAGCACAATATTTTCTAGAACTGAGTAAAAAATAAAAAATATCACAATCAGTAAAGGAAAAAGTTTTTTTTCAATCTGAGACAATGGACAAAATGTTTAATCATGCTATTTAGCTAATGAAAAATTAATTTATGCATACAGTTGCAACTAATATACCATGTCTGAAACTTCAAAATGACATTCAAGAGACATATTAGGTTGTTTTGCTGCCATTACATTAGTTTTATTGCTTTTGGAATACTGATACTTATGCTTCAGTTGACCATCTACTTTAGAGTAATACATAGACTTTTCTTTTCCTGTGTTTCCCTACTTTTTGTGATAAGTAACATAAACAATTAGTACATAACTGTGCAAAAAAAAATAATATTAGCTAACTTAAAAGTGTGTAAGAGAAAACTACATTCAGATCCACAACAATAATTATAAGAATCTTTGGGGTTCTTCAGGTGTTTGGGACAGAATTAAAAGTGATGCTTTCAATATATATATATATATATATATTTATATATATATATATATACATATATAATGCCATATGATAATGAAAGGGTCTTGCACTCACATGTGTGACATTACCCGTTTTATACAAAAAAAGAAGGAATTGAGTCAAAAAGTTCTTTCTTTTTTTCCAGCATAATGAGTCTATCAGCATTTCAACCAATAATTACATTAATAACTTGGCACTGAAATTCCTAACTATATACATATAAAAGTATATTTACACAATTTTTAGATTCCATAAGTTTTGCTTTCTTTCAGGCTCACTTTTTATAAGTATTTTTAGTTTGAAAATCATTAAAATGTCAGAAAAAGTTTGGGTTATTTTGAGTTCCTCAAATACTCCTTTTTCGCTTTTATCAGTCTCTTTTAGAGGCTGTAAATAACTCATTTAACAGAATATGTAAACAATTTTCTTTGTTTTATTTAGATTCTGCACTTTTATTCAGTTTGAAATATACATGGTGGTCTGAAATTATCTTTCCTATTTTAAAATTTAATAGTTAATTAACTAAGAAAATACAACCATGCAGTTTTCAACATCTTGTAGCTCAAGTCAAACATTTTTTTATTGTCATATTTTTTTCACTCCAGCATGCAGCATTATCCCATAAAATGGCAACTGTGCAAGAAAAGGCTTAATGTGTCACTTGGCTTGCACACACCAAATCAGTGACTGTGGTGCAGTGTAATTACAGATGCCAATGCAGGAAAGAAGTATGAGGGTACATTAAAGATATTGTGTGTTGCACACCTACAGCAAACATCACGGAGCTAAAGACCAGGATAATAGATGCTATCGCCACTATAACTGTGGACATGTTGCAGTGAATGTGAATTTAAACGTAGGCATGCTGAGAGCCATGTCAATAAAAACTGTCTGAGTTGGGCTACAAGATGTTGAAAACTGCAAAGTTATATTCTCTTACTTAGTTAATTAATAAATTTTAAAATAGGAATGATAAGTTTGGACCACCCTGTATATTTAAAATATTCCTTAGGAAATCACAAGAGATTCATAATTTATTTTGTCAGAGCTTGAACTGTACATTCATGGTACAGTGGAGAAGGTAAAACATCTGAAAATAGTATTGAAATCATATCATTAAACTTCACCTTGAAATATACCAAAAAGGTAACCATCCACTAACAAGAATCTAATCTGTAAAAATATTACATTCCTAGCAAACAACTTCATCACATTGTAAACTCATTACTTGGAAGTGAAGAATGAGGTTGCTTGATCAAATTATAACTGGATGATAAAAACCCAATGAAGTCTAAATGTTACCTTGTGTATAAAACACAATTTAGATTATTGGACCCTCACTCAAATAAAACAAAGTATTAATCACTCAGAACATTATATTATATCATTTCCTTTTGTTTGTCAAAATTGTATACTGATTCCAAGTATCAGTCCAGTTCTATTAAGTATTACTTAATTAAACAATTAGGTCATTAAATCAAACAAATGACAAACACCAAGTGCTCAAATATTGCTATAACACCAGATGTTTGTTTATTAAATTAAATGTTATACTGACAACAAAACAAATAGGAAATGCATCAAAACATTGCTTTAACATTAGCAACAAGCTCATGAAAACAAATGATTACCTATACAACAAAACAAAGAGCAACTTATCAAATATTACTTTAGCATCAGTAACTAGACCCAATCCTTTTTTTTTCTAAAACATACTGAAACACAGGTATAAACCACTCAGTATAACTAATTCTTTTCCTGCTAGAACATACTAAAACTAAATTATTAGTCAGTCCATCTTTAAACATAATACTTCTAACAAACAATTACAGTCACTCCAAGTACAATACAAAATAATTACTTGATAAGACCCTCTGTTTCTTGATTTACAACATGATTTGTAATGGCTTTGCCAATAAAGAGCTCATTTCACATGCCAAGTGCTGGCTGACCACTGGTCTTCAGCTCCAAATATTGATAGGGGACATGAATTGTATGACTTTTGTGTTCCACCAGTAGATGTCCTCGTTGCTGGGAAGCTCCCACAACCACTACAGTTTCTCCTTTCAGCAACTGAACCTCTCCACTACCATCTTCTGTAAAAACACTTAATGCAGTTAATGGCTAAAGTCCTAGGAACAGATGTTACTTAATAATAAACACTTTCTTATACATTCAGTCTTCAAGATGTGTTCTAAATAAGCATTAATAATTGAAACTACCCATTCACTAATATAGTAATCTAAACTGTTTGTATTTCCTTGGCTCAAATTCAAACCTGAGACCTTGTGAATACTAGGCAAATACTCTACCAGCCAAGACAAAGGGTTAACACACTAACAGTTTTTAATAATGCACTTTTTGATAACCCAAACTACCACATTTACCACCTCTCACAAACAAGGCTCATCCTTGGACCTTATCTCAGTCATGAAATGATCCCAAATTGAGAGCCAGTTTTTTTTTTCTCCTTCTTCAGTCCAGTAATGGATCTAAGATCTGTCACACACCAGTTGACTGCTTTACCAACTTAGCTAAAGGGTTAACCCACAAGTAACTGCTAGTAAGGCACTTTTTAACAATTCAAACTACAACACTACCTTCTTTTATTTCCCTCTGATGGCTAATAATACAAATCAACCAGGTCATTACTGGAAGTGTGGAAGTGGTTTTGGTATATAAGCTGTGATGATGCACAGTCCAATAGCGTTTGTAATAGTATAAATTAAAATTTGTTAGAACTATTGTAAAATAAGTAGAATTTGGTGAAAAAACAAAAGAGTTAGAGAACGCTAAGTTTAAGTATACTAATGTTAATAACTTTAACACAATACCACTAATACCCTATGGTCAAAGACATTTCTCTGTGATGGTAAAATCTTTTGAAAAATATATAGTGTTTTGATAGAATGCATTATAATCTGAAAAATAAAAAATATAAATACAGGAACAAACCTGGGAAATTCATTTTTATTACTCTTGTTTGTGGATACCCCATTTTAGTGTTGCCGGTCACTGTATATGATCGACTGGGAGGTACTGGTGGAGGTCGCTCCTTTTTGAGAGAAGAGAGAGAAATATAGTTAAAACTTTTGTTCTTTAGTCTCTATTAAAAAAGAGCAAAAGCAAAATGCATGTTTTTAATTACTTAAAGTCACAAAATACTAATGTTAATACTGAGAAATTAACTGGTACCCGTGGGGCTATTGTATGAACCATAACATTTATTCTAACAGATGTCATCAACTAAAGGAACATCTTAGCCCATTACCTACTTATCTACTACATATTTATATATATATATTATGAATACTAGACTGAAAAAAGAAAGAGCAATTTTTATCCTCTAAATAAATACACCCTCTTCTGCTGTCATAATGGGTATTGTACAAGAGGTTAATATGTATCAAGATGTTTAGTGATTCCATCAACTCCTTCATAATTAAACATTACCAGATCTAGTCCAAACAGTGAACATGTTTGCTGAATTTTTTTCTGATCTTTCTCCAAGTCAGGAGGAGGAGTCCCAGCAATTGGTTGAGGGCGTGGCCTTGAAGCATTGGTGGTAATGGGTGGAGGGGGATGATGAACATTTCTGAAAAAAAAAGAATCACATTTTTAAATACCAGATATACTACTTAAATTTTAATAAACTACTATTTTATGAATGTATGTTAATAAATTTGACAATAAATTAGAGTTTATAATTCTAATGTTAGAAAAAAATAGCTAAATATTGATTTTTGTGTTACACTGCACATTGATATAGATGCCTGCAAGTTGTCTTTCTTTGGTGGTCTGATAAAGTTGATAAAGGTGTCTGTCAGATACCTTTCTTTGGTGATCTGATATGATATATAGTATGCTGACAATTGATTATGGCCATAAAGTCTATTTAATGTCTTATAAATGCACACGAATTTTTGTTTATCTGTTTTACAAAGCAATAAATATTATAAAGCTTACTTGGTGCCCCGTGTACGAGCCTGTAACTGCAGGTTACGTTTAAGAGTGGACCAACGCCGACGAAACTGCCAGCCTCTCCATGCTGACTGTATGAGCACTGCTGCATTATGTCGCCGCTCTACTCGTACCTTCTCTAGTTGTTGTCGTGCCCCTTCACTAAAAGGAACAAGATAGACATTCAATTTCCTCCCCATGCTCATTCTAATGCAATTGAGAAGTATTTATACATGTTTCACAATGTGTAAATAATGGATTATTTTATAAACCAAAGACAAAAATAAATATATTTAATCTTTAGAATTAAACAAATATCTAGATAATGCATTAAGTTTATATTAGATTTGTAGGATTTACAGTGAATTTCATAACAGCTGATAAAATATAATTCTCATTTTTCTTTTAACATACTTAAATAAAAGTTTTACATGTTGAATTATCCTGAAGAGTGATTTTCATCATGTTGCTATAATAAAAACAAAAAACTTTTCTTAAACCACGCACACACACACATATATATATATTTATATATTAGAAATAAGAAATCTAATTTAATAATTTGTGAACTTATTAATATTAAACATTTTTATACTTATAGTATCAAAATGGATTTCTGCAACTAAATAATTACTAAATTTCTAAAATAAGCACAACATAGCCAACATGTTGCCGACAGTAAAATAATACAGCTATGAGTTGGGGAAATAATTACCACAAGATACTCCTGTATTTTTAATAGTATCATTTTAAGGTTATGAATACACACCTTAGAAAGATATGTCTCTTGCCTAATGACCAAGACGTTGAAGCACTTGTTAATTCTTGAGCTTCCACTACTCGTAGAAAACAATCCAATATAATCTGGAAAAAACAAAAATGAAAGTTTAAATACACTATAAATATATAGCAAAATTAAATCCATTATCTGATTCACACAACAATAAAAAAGGCAAAATCTTTTCTATATCAACCATTAAAAAATAAATTGGAACAGAACTACTAAAGTATTAAAACTGGACTACTGTTTTTACTCATAAATTCCTCTGGATGTAGCAAAGCAGGATATTTATAGAAATAGTGTTTAGAAATAATTCAAAATAATTTTGATTAACACATCCATTTATGTCATTAACAAGTGTAACTGATTAATTTATTAAAACACATCTATTTATGTCATTAACAAGTGTAACTGATTAATTTATTAAAACACATCTATTTATGTCATTAACAAGTGTAACTGATTAATTTATTAAAACACATCTATTTATGTCATTAACAAGTGTAACTGATTAATTTATTAAAACACATCTATTTATGTCATTAACAAGTGTAACTGATTAATTTATTAAAACACATCTATTTATGTCATTAACAAGTGTAACTGATTAATTTATTAAAACACATTTATTTATGTCATTAACAAGTGTAACTGATTAATTTATTAAAACACATTTATTTATGTCATTAACAAGTGTAACTGAAAAACCAATGAAAAACATTTGACCTAGGTACTAGCCAGCAGTGTAGCTATAAAACATGTTGGGCCCCTTACATTTATTCCCCTTGCCTACAATTCTTAAGTTTGTCAGGCCCTTCGGCCCCCCTTTTGACTAGGACCCTCCTGCAGTTGTAGTGGCATATTTACTCCACTGGTACTAGCCAGTCAGGTTCTCAGATCGTAACAAAGACAAAGATTATGAACTAAAAACAGAATATGATATGAACTCAGACTGCATTAAAGAACAAATGTGGTCAATCATAGCATTTCAACAAAGAAGAGCTTATATACAGACTGACTTTGATCATTTATGTTATATAATCAAGCAATAAATTCAAGTGACTGAAAAAGTAATCTCAACAAATTTACAATTCCATACTATTTTTAATAAGTATTCCCTGAAATAAACATTATTAGAAAAACTTTACAACAAAAAATATTTTCTTACCTTACAATCTTCAATGGCTTTATCTTCATTTCGTTTCAGTTTTCGGAAAGGGGCTAGAACTCTGTATCGAGCAGCAAAAGCCTTGAACCTCATACGATGTGGATAGCCTGAAACAAGCAAGTCAACTTCTTCAGACCTTTTGTAACTCAAAATATCTATTTTTTCTTGGTCTATAATAGATCATGTTTAAAAATGTTTGGGAGGATACAGTATTTTAGTAAACTCAACTTTATGGACATCTGTGATTCAGTTTCTGCCTTCACTGTAAAGGAAATTAAATCTATGTTTTCAAATAAATAAAATAAAATCCTGAAGTTCCATTATTTTGTTTTTAGACTGTTTCACTACAGCAACTTCATCAGCTACCAATACATTAATCAATCATAGTTTAAATATATATTAGCTAATAGAGGTATAAAATACAACAAATTATAAAAAGAAAATAACAACTGTAGTTCTGAAAAACTAATTAATTGATTTCCTTCATGGAATAATTCTCCAATCAATTTAAAAACTTTTTTGTACAAGACGTTTTCCTACCTCCTGCCATTAAATTGACAGTTTCAAGGACTTGAAGGGCTCTAATCTGTCTGACAACTAAAGCTCTGTCAAAGTGGGACTGTTGTTCGCAGTTGTTTGACTAGTTGAAGAAAATTATAAATAAAATATAAACTTCACATGTTATGATGTTATTACGTAGAAATTAAATTAACTAGCAATAAAAAAGCTTAAACAAAAAAAGCATAACAATTTTGTAAATGTCAATTTCATTTAATTTAGCTGTCTCCAATATGCAGAAAATTAACTGATCATTCATATTCTAAAACAAAATTGTAATTTTAATTAAAAATGACAAAATACTTATATTTTTACAATTCAGCCTAGAAATAGTAACTATTACATATACATACATATATGTCTGTAAACACACACATATATATTTCTGTGAGAAAACAAACAGACTCTATTGCATACTAGTGAATTAAATTATAAAAACTATGCTTTCGAGGAGTTTATGTCACATAAGGTCAATAATTGTTCGATCTATATTTTAAAAAGTCTCTGCTATGTGTTATAACAAAAATTCCTTAGATAAATATAAGAAATTATTAGGCATATTAACTAAAATAAATGCTTATATCCAGTCTGTGTTGAACAATCTGTAATTAGTAAAGTGTTAATCACACTAAGTCTTCATCAGAGTGCATTGCAATGTTAAACATGGAATAAATTTCAGTAACGTTAAGTGGCTGCTGGAGTAAAGGATGTTTCCTAAACATGTCTACAAAGGACAAAGACAAGAATAATAATACTAAAATACCACATTTTCAAGTTAAACCAGGGTCCTAATGCAGTATCCCACAATCCTTAGATTACCTTTATCAACAATCATTCCAAACATATTCAAGAGAGATAAATTCCCATCTCATACTAACTTGCACAAGTGCCTGTACCACTCCTTAGAATGAGTATGATCCCACTCCAGGAAGTCATGACACAAACAGACGACCAAGTAAGTATAAGCTTTATGGAACAAGTCTGAAGGATTACTGCAATTTACAATTTTTCCACATCTGGTTTACAAGGACGATTTTAACTACATGCAGAACATCTGTATGAAAATTTAAAAACACATTCCTGATCACATGTAACTAAAGACATATTCTGTACTAGTAATTAAAGGGCAAAATATATTTTAATCATTACAAAAGTTTTGATTACAAAGTTGTATGCAGAATGAATTATGACACTTTTTACTCCATGCCTTTCATTATTTACAGAAGACTACACTATAAGCAAGAGTAATTAAATGTTTACAATTATATATCAGAAATGAAGATACTAACTTGACAAATGTGTTGTGCAAAATTATCAACTATCGTTATACATGGATGAAGTGAAGCTTGGTATGAATCAGCCTTCAGTAGGTTGTCCAGTAAAAATTATCAAATTACCTTGATACAACGAATGAAGTGAGGCTTGGCATGGACTAGAGTCCTCAATAGGTTGTCGAGGCGTGTGTGAAAATCTTGGGTAAGTGTTGAAACTGGCTCATTTCCATTTTGCCTGAAAAAAAAATAGTTTAATAATTTTCATAACACTTTTTTTCAACAAACTGTATGTTAATTGATGTGGAAGTGATATGATATTCAACTTGACTGCTTAAAGAGTACTTGTACAATAATAGCATAGGGTTTAAAAATACAATGTTAAATTAGAAGAAATAAGAGATTAATGATATTACAAGTCTCACTCTTCTTGAAGATCTTGTTTGAAAATTCATGTTCAAATTGAAAAATTGTATTCAATTGGTACTGTTTTTTCCCCCTTCTGACATGTTTGATGCTTTCAGAGTTTAAAAACTGCTAATGTTTGTTTACTTCAGGTCTGAAATAAGGTACTTCAGTGTACTGTACAGTAAAAGTACCGTGTGCTGATGAGCTGCAATTCCCCATAACCAGTGAGAAACAGTTATGTATTGCTGTTTATAGGTGATTTCATCAAGTAAATGTACCCAAAAGTTTGTCAAGTGTCATATTCTCCAATAAATACATGCTGAATAAATATTTATGGTATGTTCAGTATATACAAAGTAAATAGCTAAATATTTTTTGAAAGTGCATGTGCAGATTGGGTCGCCGGGACACCAGGCAAAATCCTGGTGGGCCAGTGATGTCTGGGCCAGTGGGGTGATAACCTTGTTATACTGTTCCAGTGCTACTGACTAACCTACTGTACATATATATATATCATCCTGATATCTGAGTATTTGCCCAGGCAGTTTTAGGCTCCCTATCCTACCCCATTTGAGTGCCAGTTTTTTCTTTATATACATTTTATTTTTCTAGCTCCTACTTTCTACAGTTCTCTTTCAAAAACTGCTTATACAATCTTTCTCCCCTCTTCTCATATTTGCAATTATAAACAAATTCAATAAGCCAGATAATAAAATTTATGGGTAAAATAAAAAGAATGAAAAGTTAACACTGCTGAGGCTCATAGCAGATACAGTAAAGTGTATTATGTATTTAATATATTATTAAACCAGTTTCAAATATCTAAAAGCAAAACATACGGGGAAAATTAATTCTGCAATAGCTACAAATTTTCACAGTCCTCTTATTTACTGATGATCAGCAAAAAAATTTAAACTCTTTATTCCAAGTTTTTCATTTACAATACATGGAACTGAGACCAACTAAATTTAGATAACGATTGATTTTTATAATCAAATATTTAGAACCTCTGGCTTGTTATCTGATGTTTAATCTTCCTATATTTCATTTCAAAAAAAATTTCAAAATACATTTTCAAGGGCCAACAATTGATTTGGTTAGACTTCTGAATTTAAAGTTGTAACAAAAAATTCTGTAAAAGAAAAAAGTTTGTAGTAAAACAAAAAAGGAAAAAGTATGTTGAAACTAATTTTTTAAAGTGTTTTCCATATAATAGTATACTTGTAAGAGTTTCAGAATAGTTCTTTGCTCGTTATGTGATAGAAGAAGAGTTGTAGTAAATGAATAAGGCAGTAAAATATCACCTATCATCATAGAACTGTCCTGAATGTGACAACAAATACTTTAATTACACTAATCCTTTCATACAGTAAAATTAAAAAAAATATGCCAGTGATTCCTAATCCCTTTTGTAGTCAAATTAATTTATGAACAATCCAACATTTTCTTTTAAAATAAAATTAACTAGCTAGGAATAGTTTAAAATAGCACTTGTGCAATATATATATATATTGTCAGGAAGATGGTGGCATAAGAACACTGAAACATGTAGTCTTTTTAGGGCTGATCCATGTATTTAATAAATTATTTATTGTACAAATATTTTAACATTGCAATCCTTTTAATTGTGTGTGTATAGCTATATGCATATATAATTTATGTTAGATATTTTCAAGTCTTAAAACTCAGTTATATAGTCTGTTTGATAAAACCCTAAATTTTTTCCAAATACTTACAAGTCTGTATGAGAAGTGGGTGAAATTCTGAAGGACACACCCCGAGGAACTGTCTCTATAGAAATAAATGTTAGTTTATTAAAATCAATAAAGTAACAAACTAAGTTTCATTACATAGTAATACTAAACTATGTCATTTCATACAAATACACAAATGTATATATCAATTGATTACTTAAAAATGCTACAAAAAAAAGTGTTAATCCACCTGTTTATTGTTTCAATTGTAGTACTAAAATACCATGAGTCAGTGAAACTATAAGAACAAGGTTCTAGGTCCTGTGCTGCCCCTAGAACCACTTCCCTCATTATCAATCAAGCTCAGTCTGATGGCCATGATAAAGCACCATTGCTCAACACTGCAATTTGCATTGTAAAAAGCTACTGTGAAGGATGGTATGACCTTAGACCACACATCTTGACAAAACTTCAAATGTACATGTAAATTTGTATCCAAGACCAAACTTAAGCAGATAAAAGACAAAATTCCATTGGAGATGTATCATAGGACTTGAGAGGTATCTGGTTAAAAGGGAGTGATGTGATTCCAGTTTCTTCAGCCATCTTTCTCATGAAAACAGCTGTTGATTTTGAGGTGTGGTCAGAAGCTTGCGAGTATCTGTCAAGTTGTTATCTTGTTAAAAGTAGAAAGAGATATGCCCAGCTTCATCACCATAATGTTTTAGGTCAAATGTTTGTATTTTGTAACCAATGTCTTTGCTTTGTGGATGAGGAAAATGCTCCAGATTGGCTTGTGGTGTGGTTTCAGAACCTAATGCTGTTCTTAATGCTCTGCTGTGTAATTTTTCTACTTCGAAAAAGACCATTGAAGGTTTCCTTCTTTGAAATGTTGTGTCCTATGGCTGTCCATCATTTATTAATCTCATTATACAAGTAATCTATGGAAATGGCCACAAAATGTTTTTCTAGCTCAGTGGTGGGTAACCTAAATTAACTACAAGCCACATCTATGATCCACAAACACACCCAGGCCCAATTTACCAGTCATAAGCTAAAAATGATATATTTGAATAAAAAATGAGCTATATATATGAAACTTATTTTAGGATTCAGGAGTTCATTAGGTTGACCTCTAGATGCCATCCACTATTACTCTAGCCATAAGTTATCCACGGCAGCATTGAACTATTACATAGTCAAGAATTCATTATGAATTAAATATACAGGTGCTAAACGTTTTTACCATAGTGTCACAGCTAGCATCTACATTTACATACCACTGGATTAGCATAAGAAATCATTCTTATAAGGATTATGTGCTACCAATGTTAAGTATGAGAACTATACCACGAGATAAAATTGAGAAGATACAACACTTGTCTAAGACTAGTCATAAAATGTACTTTAAAATTATTACACTTCACAAGCCTCAGCAGCATCACAGAGTTCCATCAGTGCTTACAAGCAAAATTCTTCACTAGTGTCTTGCAGTGTGAAGATCATAAATTCCATCATCAAGCCTTTTTGCAACTGAGATGTCCAAGCTCCACAATTACACTGCAGACACTAAACAAACAGAGGATTACCTGAAGTGTACTTCAGAGGGCAGTTATAGGTTGACAGGTGATATACAGCCACCACTGAGATAATCCCTCCCCCACCAGATCTCAGATACTCTAATATGAAACAAAAATCTTGCACCACTGGGATTTGTATAACTCAGCCTAAACAGAAAATGTAGAGATTGGACGGTTTGAAGCAAAAAAGACATGTAAGTACCTATTTGAAGATCATGGTGGAGAGTTACTTAGCCACAGATGTTTCCTACACCACAGATGATGAGAGAACTGGTTGGGCATTGATCACTTCCTGGAGCAACAACATTCTGAATAAGTCTGAAAGAGCACTGAAGCTTCCAACAAACAACACAAGGATAGAGTTGGAAGACAAAGTAAACTCTTCTCTGGATAACTCAAAGCAATGAGCTAAAATAAACAGTGCCACTACATAATTTTTGTGACTGATCAACTAACATACAGTTTTGTGTAACAGAATGGTTGGTCCCCAGGTGAATGGTAGAAAGCAAAACAACTGCATGAATGTTTGAGCCAGGCTATTCAGGGGTAAAGGTAAATGAGGAAACTGACAAGCTTGCTAGTCCCAGTCCCTTTAACAAAACTACTGGCAAGATATTGACTTCCTTCACACTAGCAAGATATACTGACATTCTGAGGGAATGAAACTGCTAGAAAACAAAGTGTCATATGGTATGGCCACTAGTAACATCAGTAAGGAAAATCTTTTTTATCTCCCATGACATAGCTGGGCTCCACAAATGGGGCCAGTGCCTGTCAGTGCAACACATGAAATTGTCACATACACTCAACTTACAAGGAGTGATTAGCTCTTTGTATTTTATGTAATACGAACACACCATTTTAAATCTGTACATTTTCAAACCATGTATCTATAGGGTATTTTATATAAATAAGACTCAAGATATTTAAATCTTTACATGGGATTAATATAATGTATTAAAAATTATTAAATAATTTCATTGTTTTATTTGAATAGGTAAAAACTGTGTGCAGATGTAGATTTTGATTTTTGATAACTTGAGGCTGTTGTTTTTTGCCAAACATAATCATTATAATGTGAAAGTGTGTTGTATAACATAAATTAAAAACCAACTGCTCATTCTTTGGCCTCTACTCTGTATAAAGATATGAATGGTCACACATAATCAATAGTTCTTAAAAACATTTTCACATCACTTCTTAGTGCATTTTGTCTACTGACCTTCTGAGTAAAGAGCTTTTAATTCACTTCCAAACAAATGAATAGCAAAACCAAAACTACATGAAGTCTTGTGGAAAACAGAAACAACATCATCAGGAACAACATCCCTATTTGTCTCAAGGAAATTAGATGTGTCATAAAAAACATTTCCTGCAAAATGCTGAACTCCAAAAATCCGACAGTCTGAGAGTTGGGGCTCAAAAAACCTAGAATGGAAACAAAATATTCAGAAAATAAAGAACTCTCCTCACATTTTTAAATGAAAGTTAAATAGCTAGAAAGAGTAGATGCATAGAAAAAAACTTCCAATACTAATGTCATCTAAAAGGTACACCTAATTTAAGAAAGAAAACAAACATGTCATACTTCAAATAAATATAAATCATAAAAAGTCCATTATGTAAAACAGTCATTACGTACCTAGAACTGGCTTTATGCTGGTTTTTTACTTTCTGGATGTATGATTCAGGGGTACCACGGACTGAACATTCAACATCCAGCATACTCAGTAATCCAGTTCTCTATGTAAAAATAAAACTCGGTTTAAGCCTGTTTTAACAAATAAAAAAAAATTATAAAATAATACAATTAGCAAATATGATTCAAAGATAATTAAACATTGCTATATGAGTTGTAGGTCCAAAAAGACCTAAAATACTAAACACTTCTTACCACAAGTTAAAAAAGAAAAAGAAACAAATTTACACACATACATAAATATATATATATTGTGATGGATTTATCATTATACATTTATTTTAATATTGATGTTTGCTTGAATTAAATCTATATTTACAAATGTATATAACTTATACAGTTAAATCTGTATTGCGAAACTCCCGCCTATTCTCTAAAGTTGTAGAAAATTCTCGAGTGTAAGTAAGAATCAACAATATATGTATGCATGTAAATACTTAATGTAGCTTTATATTGTTACGTAATCTGAATTTTCTAGAAATTTTCCACATGCCTATAAATATAACCTATGCGACACACCAAAAAGAAGGAGTAAATATTATTAGTTTGCTATAGTCAGCGTGCTATGAACTTCGGAAGCTATAACTGTGATTGTTATAACACTTATCAATCGGAAAACTTCAGATATTTGACCAGGAGCATTTACAGAGTTTGAACATTACAAATCATTTAACTTCAGTGGATTCACATCAGACATTAGTATTTTTACTAAAACATTATATAACTTCATGGTTGAAAACTCGGCATGTGTGGCAGGTGAATAATGAAGAACAAAGCTAACTAGCTCCCTGTTAAGTGAATCGTACCTACATCAACTCGTAATTAACTCGCTCATCATGAATTTTCGATAAGATATCAAGGAAGTTCTAGACTAGAAAGAAGGCTTTATATTGCTTCTAAGTTTGTAAAACTTTTGTATATAAATCATTGTGTGTAATAACTATTTGTAATAACTGTTATTGTAAATTGTATTGTAGTTTTTATATTAAAACATATTTGTATTAAAAAAGAAAACTGTGTGTATCAATCTTGTTGGCAAATATCATAAATTGGAGATATATTGGCATATATTTAACTTCTAAATCTAAATTATCAGTTAAGTTTCAGACCATTTCAAATTATAATATGCAACAATACATAATGAATAAAAGCGTTATTATTTCATAAAGTGTAATTTCAGTATTGGTATGAAAAGCTTGCAAAACTTACAAATAACCCAATCTTTATAATACCTGTAAAAAGAGTTTGCAATACTGTGATCTTAAGTCATTCAAATTAAATTTCTTTAACCTCAAAATTCATGGCAGAAAGTGGTACTAATCTTAATTAATCATCAATCTCTGTTTATATCCCATGTTAGGTATAACCTAATCCTTATAATGCCTGTGAAAAAGGTCTGTGATACTGTGAATCCCACACTGTGATCTAAGTCATTAAAATTAAATTTCTTTAACCTCAAAATTCATGGCAGAAAGTGGTACTAATCTTAATTAATCATCAATCTCTGTTTATATCCCATGTTAGGTATAACCTAATCCTTATAATGCCTGTAAAAAAGGTCTGTGATACTGTGAATCCCACACTGTGATCTTAAGTCATTAAAATTAAATTTCTTTAATCTCAAAATTCGTGGCAGAAAGTGGAACTAATCATAATTAATCATCAATCTCTGTTTATATCTCATGTTAAATATACATAGGAAAGTTCATTTAAAAATATAACTTTCTGAATAATAATGTATTTAACATATCTTTTTTTTTACCAAATCTTGTTAATCAATAAACTGATGAAACCTGTCTTGAATATTAACACAAAATACTACAATTTGAGCACTATGCAACTCCTTTTTAAATTTGTTAACAGATCTAGTAAAATCAAAGTCAGAATGTTTTCAGTATTAACAGCATTTTGTGATTACCTAAATACTGATAAAGCACAAATAAAAGGAATGCTTACAAGAGATGAAATTAAATCTATGCAGGGTACATTATCCACATAGTCTACTTTTACATCACAGAGAACTCCTTCTTCTCTGCAGGACTCAATGCTACTCTTAAACACATGAGTATTATAAAAATGTTGCATTGTTTCAGCACACAAGTTGATGCACAGATGTTCAAGTTGACTTGGCTATGAAAAAGAAATGAAATCAAATTGTATTACTACTGTTATAATATTATGTATTGTTTCACTTATCTATAAACTGTATATCTATTAGGAATCTTGTGTTATTTTTTATTGTTTCGTTTTAAGGTACAGCAAAAACAGCATGATGGCTTTGGTGATAACAGAAAAGCAACTGTGCATATCAGCTTCTTTTTATTATTGAAACAAACTTTTCTAGGAATATTATTCCATTTATAATTAACAATAATTATGGTGCAATAGTTTATGACTGATTATATTGAGGGCACACATATATTACTCTGAAACATTTGAATAAATAAAGCCCAGTTTATACTCACAAAAGTAAAATTACTTTTACGATGAGACTGTAGTTATATAGAATACAGAAACTAATTTTTCTCTGTTGAAAATATTCACACCTTTCTTAGAAATCATAACACTTTATATAGAATACAGAAACTAATTTTTCTCTGTTGAAAATATTCACACCTTTCTTAGAAATCATAACACTTTATATAGAATACAGAAACTAATTTTTCTCTGTTGAAAATATTCACACCTTTCTTAGAAATCATAACAATTTATATAGAATACAGAAACTAATTTTTCTCTGTTGAAAATATTCACACCTTTCTTAGAAATCATAACACTTTATATAGAATACAGAAACTAATTTTTCTCTGTTGAAAATATTCACACCTTTCTTAGAAATCATAACACTTTATATAGAATACAGAAACTAATTTTTCTCTGTTGAAAATATTCACCCCTTTCTTAGAAATCATAATACAATGTTTAAGGAAAGTGCAAACACATTCTTACCTTCCCATCTTCAAAGCCAAACATATCAAGAATACCGATAAAGCCATCAGTAGCATGGCGAACGGCAGAGTTAAGAACTGTCATAGATTTGGAAGACTTAATTCCACCTGAGCCTATGGTCGAAGCATGCTGGCTACCAGTCTCTGCTGAAGTAAACAGTGTTCACCATGTATTAATTTTAAACTTTTATTTCAAAAATAATTTGTACAAGCTACATTTACATGTGCACATACACACATTCACAATGTTATCCTTATATGGAATACTTTTATCGGTATAAATTTTAATGAATAAAACAAAGATGAAATATAATGAAGAATTCATAGTTCATTTACACGTGCTGCTCTTGAATCCTACAACCATGGAACCAAAAGAGGACTGTAAATTCCCCCTCACAAAAGAAGCAAGGTTTTTAGTTTCTTTGCTGCCAATCTCGATGGTCCTTGCATTACTGAAGAAAGCAACCCTCTAGATTATTAGAAGATTCATGAAAAAAAAACTTTCCCACCTTTTTATTCCAGCATCCTCTGCCCCATTCAGCATCTATTTAGTACTGGACCTGATCACTGTCACCTCACTGACATTTGAGAGACTGATGTTCATAGAGAACAATGGACAGTTATAATATCTATAAGCTTCCTTTAATAATATGCTTTTTGTTCTGAAACTTTGTTATTGCATTTTGAAAAATAAAAGTCTTGAACTGTTATTATTTATTTAAATTTAGTTTGTTTCATAAAATAAAAGTATTGAAATCTTATCATCTGCCGTTTTATCATTATTGCATATTACCTGACAAAGTATTCATGAATACATTCCTACATATTTGTATTCATAAAAATAAGAAGTATTCATATTTGTATTTAATCTACAATATCTGCCCCATCCCTGTTGAACTAACCAGCTGAAAATAAATTACAAACTGACTAAATCCTACACGGATTACTCATTAACTGACTTTTGCTAACTCAACAACTCATTCAAGCCTAACTTATGTTTAAAATATGGTTAATTGTTTCCTAAACTTTGGATAAAGTTCCAGACATTTGGGGTCACACCCACTGCATTACCTCAAACTACTTCTTACTAAACAACAATACAAGTTTCTGAAAATGTCTAGCATAAAAACATAGATTACAACAGTATTTTTATAAAAGGAAGATACATAGAAAATGTGTCTTGTATACTGCAAGACAAATTGTCTCTTTCATAAACTACAAAGGAGGTTGACAATTTTTTTTTATTTTGTCCAATGAAAAAGTGATTGAAAAAATAGACATTTCATATTTTTTTCATATGCAGGAAAGTTGATGGAGATTATAATATATAATTTATTTTATTTGAAGGAAAGGTTGACAAATGTTACCTTTTTGTTTTGACAAATCAAAGTGAGAAAGATAAGTATTTGTATCTAATTAACTGCTGGACAGAGGAAAAACAAATAAACCACTATATACACATATTTTTAATGCAGGAAAAGTTACCAAAATAGAAATGTTTGCTTTCTGCTATAATGATAGATTGATTTGTCAACTTGCATGACTATAAACTGATGCCATAATGATACTGATTTGCCTACCTGCATGATTATGAACTGATTCATTGCTATCAGAACTTAGAGTTCCTGAGGTAGATCCAAGCCTTTTTAAACTATTGGCTCGTCTGACAATTGTTGCTACTGTCCGGCAGTAAAGTGCTTTGGCTAAGGCATCCCTTGTTGCAGTGGCCTAAAAAAAAAAATTTACAAGCTGTGATTAATAAACAGACATTATATGCTGTTAAATAAAACTAATGGATGATCCCCTAATATTGACATTGTAAACTGAGCTAAAGTTGCAGCTTGTATTAGGACATAGTAACATTAACTGGTATAATATAGGTTGGTTTTCATATACTGAACATATATAATTTTTTTGTCTTTCAATATGTATAAATATATATATTTTTCTTGTTTTGTTGTTTACTTCTCCATTGCCTGGCATTCATATCTTGCTTGAGTTTACTAGTAGCCATGTATTGATTATATATTTATTTATTGTAGAACATTAACTTAGGATTGCAATAATTAAAAGTTTTTATTATCATAAAGTTAACTTATTATGCTATGTAAAGAGCATGCTTGCTCATATTAGATGTGTGGAACTGTATTTGATAATGATTTACATCAGTTATTGTAGTTATCTGTGTCTCCTACATTTCCAAATGAACTATGGAATTTATTTTTGTTTTCATACACATTCTGTTCCCTGCTTGTTGACCTGAGATAAAGGTTAAGAACTGTTGAGTGAAAAGTGACAAATTCTTGATGTTATAATTTTTATGCTAGTTTTGTTTTGTGTTTTAGTTGTAATATTTTAATAAAAGTATTAACTACTGGGCTTTACACCAGTATAATAGTGATGTACTCTTTGGAAATTGGTATTTTAAGAATAAACAAGGCTTTTGTAGAGAAATTTATGGATTTTTAATAATGAAAATACATGATGCATGATTTTCAAGGACTTTTAAACTAGAACTCAGCTTTATTATATACTTACCATACAAGCATCAGAAACAGACTTAACAATCTGTCCACGAACATTGTGCGTGCGAGAAGTAAGACCACGAAACAAAGCAACACTGGATATCCCCAATAAAGATGAAACTGACTTAATTTCTGAAATATGGAAAAAAAAATGTCTTTTTTAATGCTAAGAATCTATTTATCTGTATACATGTCAATGAAATAATCAACTATACTCATGATACAGTCTTAAAAGTTACAAATTATAAAAACAAAAGATCTTCTGCCATACCTGCTCCACTTTTCATGTTCACTTCTAGCCCTGGCCCATCAAGAAACTGGACATTTCCTAGCAGTAGAACTGAAGCTAACACCCTAATGACATCCATGAATGGGATCCCAAGAACTGAAAGACATGTCTGAAATAAATAATTACAAATTTGATATTCTGTTCTAACACAAAGTTTGGTTAACATTTGAATTTTATAAGTAAGAAATTATTAATAAAAAACTATATCATTACGATGTGTTGCAATCAGTTGAAATACAATTTAAACTGAAAACATCATGTAAGCAAGAAACAAGTAAACGATGAAACAATAAAATTTGCAAAGAAAGACTTGTCAGATATGATAGTGATAAAATAATCATATCAAGCCAGATGTTACTTTATAAAGATGATAGTTCATAGAAACTTAGCATGCCAATTTATAATAAAACTGAAAATGTAAATTGCCATTCACACAGAACAGTGTTTTCAAGATTATTACAACAGTTTTAATAAATCTCCAGCTGACTTTGGCGTACCCATTCTCTTTGACCTCAGAAGAAAAAAATATTTATATATTAGCTCCAATTTTTTTATAATAAAATATGTTGATCTCTTTATTCTCTGCTTACTAAAAATATTTTACTTGATTTAGTGCCAAAATGTTTTGTTTGTTTGTAGTTAAGTACTAAGCTACACAATGGGCTATCTGTGCCATGCCCACTACAAGTATTGAAACACAGTTTCTAGCATTGTAACTCTGCAAATATGCCACTGGTTTTGCTTCTTCAAGTCAAATACCTGATTAAGAACAGAATAAATAAAATCCAAATTAATACTTTAGAATTGAAAAAATTATTTAGTCCCATTAGAAATATTTTTTAGTATCTAAGATTTTCATGCAAACCTACACAAGGCTATCTGCACATACCTATCCCTAATTTTGAACTGCTAGCTGATAGAAAAGTAAGCTAATCAACAGGACCCTCCACAAACTTATGGGGTACTCTTGTCTAACCAAATTATGCGATTTTACTGCCATTTTTATAGCACATCTACAGCCACCATGAACCCTCGGATTCACAATTTGGGCATGCTAAGCACTATGCCACAATCAGCCCTCTCTAGTAGAGAGAAGATTAAAAGTGGGTCGAAAAAAAAATAAGATATCACTCCAAAATGAACTTTAACATAATAAAATATGATAACTGTTGTAAATACAGCCCTTAAATTGTCACTTGAACATCAAGTATGTGAGAATTTGAAATATACAGCCATTTAGACCCATGTGATGATTCCCTTTTCTTTTAGATCTAAGGTGTATAGCAGTATAAAGTTATTTATCATTTCTTCTACATTTCAGTACTATAATAATTCTTTGTGACTTCAGTTTCTAACTACTTATAGTGTAGAAATTTTTGCTTAACTTAACATTAAATGTTTAATATTCTAGCTCAGTAGTGGCATGTATTAATTTGTTTGTTTGGGTTTTCTGAATTTCATGTAAAGCTACTAGAGGGCTATCTGTACTAATGGTCCTTAATTATGAAGTGACAGATTAGGAGAGCATCTAGTCAACAACACCCACCACCAACTCATGGGCTACCCTTTACTAATGAATAGTGAGATTGAGCATCATAACACCCCTCACATCTGAAAGAGCAAACATGTTCAGTAATGAGAATAGAACCCACACCCACAAATTGCGAGTCAAGTACCCTAACTGCCATGCCAGGCTTACATGTAAAAAAGAAGCAATGCTAGAACTATTGTAATGTTTTCTTCAAAGAAATATTGCTACTGCAGTGGATATATTACCTCTATTCTACTGTGGCTCACAAACTTTCAGTGATTTGTTTTTTTAAATCTTATCATTACTCCAAATTTTCTGGCTTAGTAAATTCAATATTATGTAAACTAAGGCTTGCAAGTATTTCAAAACAAAAGCTAAAGTTATAGCACCTGCTCTGTAAGCAAAGACATCAAAATCCTTCTGATTCTTAGTTGGATCAGTTTGTTTCTAAATTGCTAATTTACTAGACTGTAATCACACTCATGAAGTTGATTGTGTTTCAAAATAGTATTTTTGGAATAATGGTGTTACTGAAATGTTTCTATTGTAAACATCAAAGTCATCTTCACAATGGTATAATTTGATTTACATCTATTATCAATTTAAAAGGTAAAGAAGAATAAAGTTCCAATGTATATAATACTGAATTAAACACATCACTATTACCAGTTTATATACTTGGTTCAATGCAACATGACAAGTCTATGTCAGCCTAACATGGTTGAAAAATCCTTTTCAAAAAGCTGTTAAATTATAGCCTATTTCAGACATGTTTTAAACTGACTTTTCAAGCAAGAATTGATCACTGATGTAAAAGATGTTAATGTTACCTCAATGTTTGTTCTTCCCAGCTCATTTCTTTTGTAGATCTATGTTTCAAAGTCTTGATTTAAAGATTGAATGTCTCATCCTAAGCTCTATAAATAACTATATCAATTTATTCAGTCAAAAACAAAACAACTGTGCAATACTAGTGGTACCTTCCATGCTTCAAACCTTGCTGTATCTTCCGACTCATTCTGGTTAACATCTCCATGGTTTAAGTACTGAAGACTGCGTATGGAATATCCTTCTAGATTTAGTTTAGCTAGAAAGGGTAAAAGTTCGATTGTAAGCCAAAACCTGAAAATCTCCTTTAAATAGCTCATTAGAAATAAAACATAGTTCTGCATTTTAAATAGTTTGATTTAAAAAAATTACCTTTTAAAAAAGAAAGGATAAAAGTTATAAATAAATTAAAATGTATATATAATAATTTCACAGTCTATCTATATTATTAAATAATACTAAGATAATTAATGTAAGAAAGAAGTAGTAAAAGTATGATACAAATTAAAAAAAAGAAAAAGACAAGTATAACCAGGGCCTAAATGTGACCTTTCCAATATGGCAGACAGTGACTTCAGTCTGGCAGCCTCCATGCTAAGAAAGCAACAAACTATTATAAGAAAACAGTTTGCCAATCAGGGAAAACAGCAAATCAATATATATATAAAAGAGAGAGAGAGAGAGAGAAGAAATCCAGTTCAGACAGTACCATAACTGAATATTATATATTTTGATATTCAGTGTGCTGTTCATTTATTTAAAAAAATTATATAATTTCATGCACACGTATTCTTTCATTCCAAAACACAAAATCCTTCAGTTCCACTGGGATTTTGCACCTCTGGAGTGTGTTGGGATATTCAGATGGGCCCAGACCCCTGGCCTGCTCTGAGGAATCTCATCCCCCCCCCCAGGTGTTTGGACTTTTGCAAGCCCCTGAAGCCATGAATGCATTCAGGAAATTCAGGTGGGTACCTAGCATTAGATAATATGATATTTTTAAGTTATCTGAAACAAAAATGTTTTAAATCATAACTTGACACAATTATGAAGACTATCCAATTCTAGCAGTTAATAATAGAAAGGTAATTAGTTAAATTTAGTTTTATAGCAATTAGTGAAACACGAACGATTAAAAATCAAGCCTAATTATAATCACCTGCAACGTAAGTAGAGTACTAAATCATTTTTAAGGTTCTTTTGCTGTTAGTAGTGTTCTCTGCGATTAACTTTACAATCATCTTAATCACAGTCATAAAGCAATCTTTTAAATCTTACTCTTTACCACTGTGGTATGTTTAACTTAACTTTAAGTCAGATAAAACTAAAGCTTTAATGAGTATTTCTCTCTTGAAATAAAAAATATGGAACTTAGTAAGACCAAGTTCCATTCTAAATTTTTCATAGATATCCGATGCAGTCAAACATAGTTTGTTTAATAATTTCTACAAAAGAATGTTTTACATTTTGGAATATGTAGAGCACAATATAAAATGTCAAAATAGATGTCTAAATGTACCTCTTTCCTCCTGTGTTAGGCCTGCTAACATCTGGTAGAATATATGGTAGTTCTTTTGGTTAGAAAGCTGACGAACAACTCTCGTCTTGAATTAGAAAAAAAAATTAAAATAAGTTATAAATATGATGATAATTATTCTCTCGTTTGATTAAACAAACTTTGTTAAACTACGGTGAACTAAAAATAACTTTCTCTGTTTTTAAACAACTTTAGATAACTGTGCAAAAATACAAAAATTGGTTGATACAAACATCAAACTTTACGCATACAGAAGTTAAAATGTTTTTTATTATTATTGGACTCAAACTTACACCAGTTAAGGTTTATTGATAAGAAACGTTAGTCATTAGTGCTAAATGTCAATGTTTAAATAATCTTGTTTAAAATTGCAATATTTAAATTTAGATAGTTAGAAACTTCAAACTATTTCACTTATAAACTATGATTCTTTGGGAGCATGATTATCACTGACTAAACATAAAACTTTCTCACAATAACGTCTACTTTTTCGTTTCTTACCTGATCAAGAAAATAACAGTGAATTTTAGTCCGATAGAGGGCGCCATCTGTCACCTGAACTTCAATGAAATGACCCTAAGAAAAATAGTTGGAAAAATCAAAGTTAGTATGAAACCATCGAAGCAAAAAAATACGTAAGTTAATATCTTAGTACGCGCTGATATAATATATATATATATATATATAATGAATAAATCGGCTGATTAATTACCTCGGCCAAACCTTTTTGGAAAATGTCAGGTGCAGCGACCTCAAATGGCTATCTTGAAATCTGTTAATAGATGATTATTGTATTCCATTGGGAAAAAAAGTCCATAAAAAATATTGCATTTTCGACATCATGGCATGAATGTTTGAAAAAAGAAAAGAAACAGCCAGAAGGAAGTTGGGTGCGGTTTGGTCGGATCAGAAGCTTTTGGATCTTAATTAACTTTTACTTTTAAGATTCTAAAAAAAGTGGAACCCCAAGGAGTATACCAGTCCAAACAATATGTGATCCGTTGACAATTAAAGTACTTGTTGCACGAAACTACCCAACGAAAGTATACGAGTCGTAGCTAAGCAATGGTGTATCGTCGAATATTTATTGGGCAATTCATTATCAAGCTACACACCCCTGAGGTGACGAAACCTTTCACCTCTCAGATTTTTCGTGATGTCCCGAGGGCATACCTCTGAAGATGACTATTTCATATGATTTATTGAAAGTATCACGGCCTTAAACATGTTTCAACATCAATCAAATTATTGAGGTATTCGATAAAACTTTGAAAGGTTAGGATAAGAACTTAAAAAGAATAAGAATCATTTCACGTAACAATTGACAAAATCTGCGTCAGTCTAAAAACAATTATACGTAATAAACATAAAATGTCCTTTTAATCTTCTAGCTGTCTCTTTTTCTATAAAGCCAGCATTCCATTCCTAATAAATTGTCGGTGTCTTTTTACTGGAATTAATGTTTAAAGTTAGATATCTAAATGATAAATTATAGTTACTTGTGTTAAAATAGAACCAAATCATAGGAAGTTGTAAAAACTCAAATACATACATTTTTTACCCGCTGAATACTTTAAAAGGTTTTCTTGTCTACAGCATGGATATTCGTAAAAAGCTACACAAGAGCTTTTTGGGAATAACCATACATAATTTTGAACTAACAAGAATAGAATGACAGCAGCTAGTCAACACCACGCACAGCTAACTCTTGGGCTACTTTAATAAAATAGTGAGATTTCATCGTGGTTCTTATAACGTACCCATAACTATAATATGCGGATCGCGACATTGCGTCAACTGGACGCGAACCATGGACTGGATTCGCACTCTGGCACGCTAAGCCAAACCTGGCTCGTGTGTTATATCAGAAGGAATACTGGCAACGTACAGACTACTGGGTTAGGTATTATATCAGAAGGAATATTAGTAACATAGACTGTGGGATATGTGTTACACCAAAGGAATACCGGATTCGTATAGACTATGGAATAACCGATATAACAGAAGGAATACCGGCAACGTAAAGACTGTGGAATAACCGATATAACAGAAGGAATACCGATGATGTACAAGCTGTGAAGTAGGTGTTATACCAAAAAGAATACCGTTAACATTGAAATTGTAAAAATATGTTACATCGGAATAAATATTAGTAACATATAGACTGTGGGATAAGTGTTATATCGGAATGAATACTGGTAACGTAGAGAGTGTGGAATAAGTTATATCACAATGAATAATGGGAACGTATAGACTGTGGGATAAGTGTTATATCAGAATAAATATCAGCAACTTACAGACTGTGGATAAGTGTTATATCGGAATGAATACTGATAACGTAGAGAGTGTGGAATAAGTGTTATATCGGAATGAATACTGGTAACGTAGAGAGTGTGGAATAAGTGTTATATCGGAATGAATACTGGTAACGTAGAGAGTGTGGAATAAGTTATATCACAATGAATAATGGTAACGTATAGACTGTGGGATAAGTGTTATATCAGAATAAATATCAGTAACTTACAGACTGTGGATAAGTGTTATATCGGAATGAATACTGATAACGTAGAGAGTGTGGGATAAGTGTTATATCGGAATGAATACTGGTAACGTACAGAGTGTGGATAAGTGTTATATCGCAATGAATACTGGTAACGTAGAGAGTGTGGGATTAAGTGTTATATCAGAATAAATATTAGTAACTTACAGACTGTGGGATAAGTGCTATATCTGAATAAATATTAGTAACTTAC